CCTCCTCCTCCTCCTCCTCCTCCTCCTCCTCCTCCTCCTGCCCTGGCCAGGCCGATCCTGGGGCCACGGGTCGGCGCCGCACGCCTCCCCCTGGCCGCGGGGGGCTCTGTGCGGGGGGCGCTCGCGCTCCGATCTCGGACCCCCCGGGCTCGGCGCGGCCAGGCGTATGTCGGGCCTGTCCCCCTACAGGGGGATTTTCAACAAAAAATGGAAAAACAAATACACCAACAATAATAAAAAAATGCTCCAAAAATGGTCTGGGCACCATGTTTTGAATATCTTTTTTAACCTTTTCGAAATATGTTGGGGTATTTTTATTTTTTCGTCGAAAATTCCCCTGTAGGGGGACAAGCCCGACAGAAGGCCAGGCGCGGCGTGCAGTCCACGGCAGCACGGCTGGCGCCCTCCGACCCGCCCCTCCGCCGCGCGCAGCGCCCCAGCGCCCCTCGAGGCCCACCTCGGCTTGGGCGCCCGCGAGCGCTCGGGCCGCAAGTGGGGGCGCGGGCGAGGAGGGAGGAGGGGGACCCAGACATGATCGCGTCTTTATGAACAACAAAAAAATTCGGACAGGAGGTTCTTGCACATTTTCGGCCCCAGGGGGCCCTCGCCGGACCTCGGACCCGTCAAAGAACGACTCAGGACGAAAAACCGGTCACGGTGAGAGGGTCGGGACTTCCAGGGACGCCGTCCTGAAAAAATCAAGACGTCGCACGTCTGGGGAGGTGGGGGGGGGGGACAGGCTGGGCGCACTCGCGCCACATCTGGCATCCTAGCGCAGCCTCCCCGGTACGCAGCCCGCAACCCGTGGCGTATTGACACCGCGCTCCACACGTAGGCGAACAAAAGACGTATGTCCAGCAAGATGCGTTCGCTAAAACGTGGGCCAACACGCGCCGAATGAACTCGCGCCGTGTTCACACCGACGTTCTGAACACGGTACGTTCTGCGTTTCGAAACGAGCGTACCATGGGGCAGCTCAAGCGTCCTATCTCTCCAGGCATGCGACGTCCTGATTTTTCCAGGACGGCGTCCCTGGAAATCCCGACCCTTTCCCCGGGACCGGTTCTTCGTCCTGATTCGATGTTTGACGGTCCCGAAGTCCGGCGAGGGCCCCCCGGGGCCGAACATTGCCAACAACCTTCAGTTTTGGATTTTTTTTGAACCGATCGTATTTGGGTCTCCCACCCACCGTACCCACCCCTTCCAATTGCGCAGACTGCGTCGCCACCCGCCGACGGGTGTTGTGGCGGATCCTGGTCCCGCAAATGACCCCGTCATCAAGTTTCATGCCCAGACAGAAACAAGCTGTGCACAGTGGAGGAGGAGGAGGAGGAGGAGGAGGAGGAGGAGGAGGAGGAGGAGGAGGAGGAGGGATCAGGAGGAGGAGGAGGAGGAGGAGGAGGAGGACGACGACCGGAGCCCCGGGCCCCATCTTTGTGCTGCATTTTCCGAACGGGGTCGATCTGCTATGGTGCTGGGGCCCGAGGTCTAGCCAAAACGCCGAGACCTTAGGGCTCGCGCCGCGCCATTAAAACCGTTTAATCCTCCTCCTCCTCCGCCTCCTCCTCCGCCTCCTCCTCCTCCTCCTCCGCCTCCTCCTCCTCCGCCTCCGCCTCCTCCGCCTCCTCCTCCTCCGCCTCTTCCTCCTCCTCCTCCGTCCTGCACGGGCACGTCGACGCCCTTCTGCATGCGCTCCACCTCGCCGCCGGGCGGCGCCAGGCCCGTGCCGTTGGACGAGAGGTCCCGGATGCCTAGGCTCTTGCCTCGGCGGGGGGGCCTTCTCAGGTCAATTGCAAGACTCCCCCCCAAATGGTCCTGTTCCAAGATGTGATCGCACCGTGAAAAATCAGGACGCAAGGTTTTTGGCTGTTTTCGGCTTCGGGGGGGCCCTCGCCGGGCCTCGGTTGGAGGGTGAAAAAATGGGTCTGAAACAAGGGGGTTCAATGGGGGCTGAATGGCCCATGTATGCTCAGTATATTTTTCATGTATGATATCGGGTATGATTGGCATCCAATGATGGCAGTCATGGAGGGCCAGTCGTTCGTGCCTGCGCGTTGCCCGCGCGGGCAAACGCGCCGTCCATCCATTATCGTTCATGCGTGCGGGCGCTCTTGCATATCGCGCGTGGGGCGGCGAAGTGGAGTGCAAGTGTGTTTTGATTGTGCGGTTGATGATCGCGCATGTTCCCAAACGATGACTTGTCGACCCCCAAGACAGATTTGGAATGTGTCCCGCGAGTGAATTCGCAACTTCCTTTTTCCCCACATGCGAATTCACGTTTTCCTTTTTCCCAAAATCTGAATTCACATTCTGGCCCCTTCATACAGATTCCTATGCAACATTCCTAGGTGAATTCACATTTCCCTTTTTGTCCAAAATGTGAATTCACAATTACCTTTGTCCCAACATGTGAATTCACATGTTGCTTTTCCATATAATGTGAATTCGCATGTTGTCCTGGCCCTAAAGATCCCCAAAACTGATGCGCAGTGTTCCGCATGTCAGATTGGCTTGGCAGATGTTGACACTGACCTCACCGCTTTCGTTTATTCCAACCTTTTCTTTTTGCGCCCTCAGCGCACGTTGCCTTCGGCGCCTTCCCCGGGTTACCCGCCTCCTTGCTGCGTTTACCCTCAGGTCTCGCGCATGGGTGCAGGCCGGGAGCTTCAATTGGTTCCCCCCGCCAAACACAACGATCTAGGATGCATCGCCCATAGAGCCACCATTGCTGGGACCCTGCGCCCGACCCCCACTTTCACCCTCCAACTCGGGACCGTCAAAAAACGACTCAGGACGAAGAACCGGTCCCGGGGAAATGGTCGGGACTTCCAGGGACGCCGTCCTGAAAAAATCAAGACGTCGCATGTCTGGGTTTCGAAGAGAGACGAGGACCCAAACCTTTTCGTCGCCGTCGGTCCTCGCTGGTCCCAGGCCCCTCGGAGGTTAGCACAGGTTTTCGATTATTCTTGCACGTCTCGCCGCGGGGCGCTCTCCAGCAGCTGCGCCTCGCCGAGAGCATTCGGGGGCCCGAAGCGTCCCGAACGGCCAACGTGGTCCCGAGATATGGCCCGAAAGCCACCCGGAGAGATCAGGACCCAGACTTGCTGTCAACGTGAAGAAATAGCGATGGCGTGCTTTTGTTTTTGTTCGGTTTCTGCGGGCCCTCACCGAGCCCGGAGATTAGGTCGGGCATGTCCTCATACACATAATCAAAAATATTTAGAGGGAGTCAGCAAACAAGGCACGACATATCGTCAACTGGCTATTTTTCCTATGAGTATTCCTCCTGTAGAAGGGCATGCCAGACTTAACCCTGAGACCGTCTAAAAAGGCTCTGGGTGAAGAACTGCCCAGGGGAAGTGGTAGGGATTTCCGTGGTTCCACGCTGACAATGAAAAGCACGACTTCCAGTAGGGGCGGGTTGGGCCATTCGTTTTGCATTTCCGCCGCCGCGGGCGTGTTTCCGGGACCTAGGGCCATCAGCGACAGATGAGGAGGAGGAGGAGGAGGAGGAGGAGGAGGAGGAGGAGGAGGAGGAGGAGGAGGAAGAGGAGGAGGAGGAGGAGGAGGAGGCTTGGACGAACACCTGTCCTTGGGGAAGGGGTCGGGGGCCCTGGGGCCGCTGGGAAGGAAAACGTCGTCGGACGCCCCCGGAGCTGGAAAGCACCCGGAGGCCACCCACGGTGCACCCACGCGGCAAATGGGCGTGCACGGCCCACGGCCATAGCCTTTCGCCCCGGATCCGTTCCTGACAGCCCCGGGGCCTGGAAGCGGGCCCCAGAAGCCGACATAGAAGAAACCGCGATCGAATAATCATACACTACGAGCTCGACCACCAAAAACCCCCTACAAGAACCCCAACCGTGGAACCCCAGGATGCGTATATCACCAGCCCTCTGGGCGCAGGTGGTCTAACGATATTTTCTTCCTGTTCCAAACGCCATTTTCCCCTTCGGGGAGAGTTTAATGACTGCTCCCTCTTAATAAACACCCCCTTCCCACACGGCCGACAGCCAACCCGGAACCATGCGCAAACCATGCGGGCCCCCCCTCACCATCCCCGTCAAAAAAACACAAAACGCATTCCGCTTCCAAATCCGGAGCATGCGCAACTAACCCGATGAGGGCCTCCCCCTAATCCCTTTTCAAAAAAACAATGCACAATACAGTTTAGGGCAAAGTCTGGAATCATGTTCGTGACACCCGCGGGCACTTCGCCTTGTTTTTCGACAAGGACGGCGGGGGTGTCAGCATATTGTCTGCTGCGCGCACGGCTACCATCCCTGACAAACACACAGTACAAAATGCACCTCGCGGCTAAATGTGGATAGTGCGCGGCCACCCTACGATCATTGTCGAATGGTTTTTGTCAGGGACGGCGGGGGTGGTGGTGTATGGCCTGCTGTGCGCAGGCCCACCAGACACAATGATGGGTGTTGGTTTTCGACAGGGGTGGTGGGGGCCGACATGTTGCCCGATGTGTGCTGTCATGTGCGCAAGCGCACCTGACACACCCTGCACGTGTCCCGGACGTGGCGCACTTGGCGCGGCTGGAGGGAGCATGTGGCGCACTAAGCGTGCCTGGCACGCTCGGGCCCCAGGAGTGCCTGGCGCGCCTGGCACGCGTGGCGCACCTCGCCCCAACGTCGCGCACACGGGCTCAGCTTTGGTTCCCCATAGCTGTCAATTAGTAGACGACCGCGGAACATGCTGAAGCCCGGGTGCTACTTCTGTGTTGGGAGGGCGGGCGGGGGTGAGCTAGACGGCTTGTTATTTGGAGGGTGTCCGGACCCCTCCCCCATACCTCTTCCCGTGGACCTGGACGGGGGGGGCCGCGACGCGATGGAGCGTCCAAAATCGGCCCCTGAGAAGGCAAATTTCTGACACCCCTCACGAGGATCGTGGCCCCCGAGGGGGGCGTCGATCGGGGCCCTCCCTCCTTTGATCGATAGCCTCGAAGATGGCCCCAAGAGGCGCTCCAGCGCCCCCAAGAGAGGCCCAAGAAAGCCCCATGAGGGCTCCAAGAAGGTCCCAAGAGGGCCCCAAGAGGCACCCGCAAGGCCCCCAAGAGGCCCCCGAGCGGTTTCAGAGAGCCCAAGAAGACCTCCAGGATGGCTCAGATAGCCCAAACTGGCTCGAGATGGCTCCCAAAATGCTCCAAACGGCCCCGAGACCGCTCCAAGAGAGCACGAGAACGCCTCAAGAGAGCCCTAAGAAGCGGTTTGCCGGCTCCGGAGGCGGGAGCTGAGTTGGGGCCCCCCCATCCTGTAATCGATGGCCTCCAAGATGATCCCAAGAAGCCTTCCAGGGTCACCGAGAGGGTTCCAAAGAGGGCCCTCGCAACTCCCAGAGAGCGCCAGCAGCAGCAGCAGCCGCAATAATGCCTCCAGATGGTTCCATGAGTCCTCGTCTGCGTCGTCCTCATCCTAATCCTCGTCCTCCTCGTCCTCGTCTTGGACCGCGTCCTCGTCCTCCTCGTCCTCCTCGTCCTCCTCGTCTTCCCCGTCCTCCTCCTCCTCCTCCTCCGCGCGCGCCCGCCTCGGCAGCTGGTTCGTCCCCTCCGCGCGAGGGCAACCGACGACGAGCCTCGTGTGGGCCCGTCTGGCCAGACTTTGAGACCTGGCGGAAGCTTACCTTAGGTGAGTTTCTGGATCGCCTTCCTGCCTCCTCCTGTGGGGGCTTGGCAGGGATCCACGAATTTCTTGGCAGCACGAGTGGTCCAGGCTCCACAACGGTAGTACCACCAAGTACCCCTCAAAACTTTGATGAAGGGCCGATGACTGGGATGAAAACCGCCCCCCGGGGCCCGGGAACGCGGCCCCCGTGACAACATGCGCGCGGCCCGTCCTGCGCCGGCCTCGGACGAACCGGCACCCGGGCAGGGGGGCGCGACGCCTCCGCGCGCGGGCCTCGGACGAACGGGCAACCGGCTGCGGGGGAATGCCTTGGGCCGGCGGGCGCAAGGCCTTGTGCCTGGTTCGTCCCCTCCGCGTGAGGGCAGCCGGCGACGAGCCTCATGTGGGCCCGTCTGGCCAAACTGTGAGACCTGGCGGAAGCTTACCTTGGGTGAGCTTCTGGATCGCCTTCCTGCCTCCTCCTGTGGGGGCTTGGCAGGGATCCACGAATTTCTTGGCAGCACGAGTGGTCCAGGCTCCACAACGGCAGTACCACCAAGTACCCCTCAAAACTTTGATGCGAAGGGCCGATGACTGGGATGAAAGCGCTGCTGGGGACCCCTGGGCAAGCAGGGGGTTTTGAGCCACCTGGGGGCCCGTTGAATTACACTCCCTGACCTCCCGCAACGCCTGCAGGAGATCCCGAAGAGGGGAGGGGACGGGGCACACCTCCTCCTCCTCCTCCTCCTCCTCCTCCTCCTCCTCCTCCTCCTCCTCCTCCTCCTCCTCCTCCTCCCCTCGCCCCCCCACGCGGCACCCAGGGATAGCCCGAAAAGGCCGTCCAAGGCCACCCCCATGCTCGCTTTGTTTCCCTAGATGTGTCTCTTCGTCCCTTTTCCAGTCAGCTCTGAAGGGCAAGGTTTCTGAATGGGCTGGTGGGGATATATTTTTTTGGTTCGCGGCTCCAAGGCGAGGGACATGGAGCGGGCACAACGTCCGGGGCGCGGTACGATGTAAGTTGGCGCGAGATTGCCGCATACTCCAGCGGACAACACACGCAGTGGCGCATGCACATGCCAGGGACAAAATGCCCCTCATTGGGACGCAATACAGCGTCGGCTGGTGACCGCTCCAGAGATCCCGGCTGGCGGGGAAGCAAAAGGCGCGGCAACCGGCAGCGGAACGGGGGGGAGAAGTCGCCCTTGCGGCGCCAAGCTCCCGCCGAACCACATTCGTAAGCGAGGCCAAGACGGACAGCGGGGCACTGCAAAAATCGCAGGCAGTACGCGGGTCCGAATGGCCAACGTCCAGGCCAAGCCCACGTGCGTGCACACAGGACCAGGCCGTCCATGACCTCGGAAAAAGAAGGGGGTGAGCGCGAGCGAGAGCGACTAACTCAGACTCACTGCAGCACCACAGGTACACGATGGTGCGGCGAAAGAGGCCTGACTCACCAAAGCTCACTGGAGCTGAGGTGTGGCTGATCCGCGTCAGAGCGCCATCCAGTAGAGGAAGACCACTGGTGTGCGCTCACGAGGCTGAGCCACCTCCAGCCGGTAGCCAGTGCGTGTACATCGTATCCGACTCACGCAGTTCGGGGGCACAACGATGCAATGTACTGACGAGGGCTGGTGGTTGAGGCTGCGCCGAAAAAAGAAACGAACACGAACTGCAGAAGGCTGAACCACTCAAAGCAGGGCCACTCACTTTGACGAAGCCTATCACCAGGTGTATGGCTGACAGTCGCACCCACTCAACACCTGCCACGCTGCCCGTGCAGAAGCCGAATATCCCGACGCCGGTGGGGAACCGATGGCTGGCGGCTGCCGAGCTGCTGGGCCGTACCGTGCGTAGGCGGCGTGACTGGTGGGGATACGCGAAGCGTGAAACATTGATTGTTGATACGGGAACGTCACGCATTCCAGCGCAAGACCATCAAAACCCAAGAATCCCAGGGCACCCTGGAGGCAAGCAGGGTGTTTCTTGGAATAGGTGTCCACTGTATCCAGCTCCCACCCAGGCGTGCCGCGTCATGTGCATGCAGCTTCCTGTCAGGACCAGGACTTCTGCCACCGAATGCCAGTCGAGGTGTTGTGAAGCAGTCCAGAGAGGTGCGCAGGTCTGGAAGGGGAGGGGGGGGGACAGAACCCCGCGATCGCCGATCCTCGGGCACCCTCCTCCGGAAGGATGAAGAGAAAGAGGAGCGGATGACGAGAAAAAGGAGGAAGGAGAAAGAAGGGAGGGGGAGGGCGGAACCCGTCCCAGCTCGAGGTGTGGGGGGGGGCTGGGGATATCCTGAGAACATCCTGTCGGGTCATCCTCCTTCTCCTGCTGCTCTCTGCTCCGTTATGCTTACGATCAGGCGCTTTTGCTTAGCGCGACGCGTCGGGCTGCGAGAGGATAGCGTGTCGCTCCACTCCGAGGGGCGGGAGGCTGGGAATAGCTCGGGACGTTGACGCCTGCGGACCGGGAAGTGGGATAGCGTACCGCGCCGAAGCGTAGTGGGCCAGAACCGTCGGAGCGACGCGTTACGGTCGAACCTAGGACAGAAGAACATCCACCAAGAACATGAAACCCTCCGTCGGCCAAACTGAAGAAGATTCGAGGGTACCCTCCCCCATGATGCACAAGAACATCCAACAAGCACGACGAACATTAAGGCACCCTCCCCGAACCGCCCTCGATCTTATACCTCGGCCCGACTGTACCTGAAATTATCTGACCGTACCCTCCTCCACCCGTTCTCCTCCTCCTCCTCCTCCTCCTCCTCCATCTTGCTCGTCCGCCTCCTCATCCGCCTCCCCCCCTCCTCCTCCTCATCCCTCCCTCGACTTCCTCCCTCCATCGACTTCCTCTTTCTCTCGACTTCCTCTTCCTCGGGAGCCTCCTTCTTCACCCTCCCCATGCGTCCTCCTCCTCTTCCGTCTTTTCTCCACCTCAGACCTGCTCACCCACCCTCCTCCTCCTCCTTCTCCTCCTCTTCGTCCTCCTCCTCCACCTCCTCCTACTCCTCACCCCACATATTGCTCCTCCTCCTCCTCCTCCTCCACCTCACCTTCATCCCCACAGCCTCCATCTCCTCCTCCTCATCCTCCTCCTCCTCCTCCTCCTCCATCCACTTCACCTATGGCCTTACCTCCCTACTGCTCCTCCTCAACCATATTCGTCATAGTGAACCGCCTCGCAATCCTCTTCCTCAATCTACTCATCCTTGGCCTAGTCCGTATATGCTTTGGGGGGGGTAGGGGGCACAGAAAAGGATCAAGTGGAGGAACAGGAAGGGATGACGAAGAATCGGGAGGGGGTGCTGGGAGGAAGATGAAGAGGTGGGCGAGGAGCAGCTGAAGCGGGTGTGAAAGAAATGATACGGGGAGGAGGAGGAGGAGGAGGAGGAGGAGGAGGAGGAGGAGGAGGAGGAGATGCAGCAGCAGAAGGGAAAGCATGAAGAGGATAAGGAGCAGAAACACGAGACGAGACGAACGCCAGAGTCATGCGGGCTCCGCTCGGGTATCCGCCCGCGGCCATTTGGGCGTGGCGTAGAGGCCGTGCCCTCAGCAAATGAGGTGCGAATCAAAAAAATGGAGTTCGCGGAGGTGGATCTCGGAGCCACCCTCCCTCCCCCTTTCCTTGTTACTCTGGCGTCGAGGGAGGGCGAGGCGGGGAGGTCACGAGGGCGAGGGGGAAGGCGATGGGTAGTAAGAAAAACCACATCGGGGCACAGGAGGAAAGGGAATGAAGATGAGGAGGGGCGATGAGCCAGAGGTGGAGGAGGAGGAGGAGGAGGAGGAGGAGGAGGAGGAGGGGGAAGGAGGAGAAGGACAGAGGACGAGAAAGGATGACGAGGCGGGAGGAGATAGTGAGGGTGAAGGGTGCGACTTGTTGGACTCGAACTGGCGTTGCAAAACTCTTGTATGCCGCCTGGGAGGACGAGGGGGAGGCGGGGGAGAAGGAAACAGGATAGCGGGGTGGGGAAGGATGAGGAGGAGGAAGAAGGGGAAGCCAGAGGGGGAGGGGCAGCGGGATGGGGAAGGCAGAGGTGGACTCGACCCGTGGGCACGACGGAGGTACCCCCGCACGTCCTGGCAGCACCCTGAACTCCAGATGGTGATTGGAGATGCCCGAGGGGGTCAGCATTACCTGCCGGGGGCATACTGAAGAGGCACAGGGACACACACACACACACAAAAACATAGACACACATCCTATGATCCCGAATCCTTGTCCATCTGTTCTCGAGGTTCGTCTTCCCCTCCACTTCCCACGCATTCCCGTATGATGGGCCTGCTTTCTACCACCACCGCGATAAGTTGGAGGTGGGAAGGAGGTGGAGGACGAGGAGGAGGAGGAGGACGAGGAGGAGGGGAACGAAGAGGAGGAGGAGGGGGAGGAGAAGGAGGAGAGGGAGGGGGAGGAGGACCCCCTCCCCCTCCAACTTACGGTGGTGGTGGTGGATAACAAGCGCACCACCATATTTCCCTGGGAATCGGCTGCCGATGCTGTGGGCCAGAGAGGGTGTCAATTGCTCTGAGCACCTGCTGTTTCATCTGGCCCTGCTCGGCTGTAACGGAGATGAAACGATACAACCACCACACGGCTTCCGTGAGGCAGAATGGCAGAATCAGCAGCCGTCTCTTCCTCCTCCGTCCCCTTGCACCCTCTCGTGGCACTACCGAACTCCTCAATGCTCCCCAAAAGCGGGCAAGACAATGGAACAACCGGGATTCCCTGCAGTCTTTGTCCACCCCCTCCGTCCACGGAAATCTCCGTGGGTCCGCAGCTGCCAACGAACTCCAGAAGTCTCTGGGGGCCCCCTGAGGCCTCCAGGGGAAAACCTCATCCACCGCCCCTCCTCAACCTCCTCCTACTCCACCGTTCCCCGTCTCCGCATCCGAATCCTCTCCCTCCTCCTCCTCTCCCTGCAGGACGGCCAAGAGGTTGGATTCCCCCCTCACGCAAGGCCGCCCCCTACGGGTCGCCAGTGATGGCGGCCCGCCCGTGCCGTAACGAGACAGCCGTGGCATTCCTTCCCCCTCCTCCTCCTCCTCCTCCTCATCCGCCCCCTCCTCCTCCTCCTCCTCCTCCTCCTCCTCCTCCTCCTCCTCCTCCTCCTCCTCCTCCTCGTCCCCCTGTCCTCAGCGACCCCCGCCCCCCCTATCCTCCCCCCTCTCCCTCTCCCCTCGCCCCTCACCTCCACCTCCACCTCCGCCTCCGCCTCCGCCTCAACCTCCTCCGCCACCACCTCCTCCTCCTCCTCCGACCCATGCCCTCTCATCCTTCTTCTCCTCCACCTTCTGCTCTCCCCTCCCGCTGTGTCCCACTTGCCCCCCCCCGATTTAGGGGGACGACGAGATACCGCTACCGCTGCTCCATGGGCCTCGCCCAAGGCGGGCCCTGGCCAAGATTCCGCGGCGAATCCAACCGTGGCGACGAGGCCCTTCCACGAAGGGGCAGCGGCGTCGGCACAGTGGACACATACGATCAGAATTCGTACTGCAAGACATGTTCACCAGCGTGGACCCCAAACAGTGTGCTTCTAGTAACATATGTTGTGCAGTCTATGGGGACCATGTGGTGCTATATGCGTTGTCCAATATACACGGCGCAGTCTATGTGATGAGATACGTGTGGTGTAACCTATGCTGTGCAACATAGGTGATGCGACATAGATTGTGCAACCTATGTTGTGCGATACAGGTCGTGTAATGTATTATGTGAAGGGTATGTGATGCATCTTATGTGGTGACATCTCTACGTTCTGCCATCGATGAAGTGCAATCCATGTGGTGCAATACATGTGGTACAATCTGCGTAGTGCAATCTATGCGTTGTGCAGCCTGTGTGGTGCAATCGATGTGGCGCAATCTATGTGGTGTGATCTATGTGGTGCAATCAATATGCGGTGCAACCTCTGCAATGCAATCTACGCGAGGACCTGTGGTGTGCGGCTATAGGGGGGGGCGTAGAGGGGCCCAACCAGAGCGGACACACGCCACTGCTATCGCATCGCTTACAGCGATCGGGGAGCCCCAGTGGGCCCACACCAGAGGTCACCCTGGCGAAGGGCCACTCTTATCCAGACCCCCCAAATCGTGATTGTTACACAACGTCAACCCCCTCAAATCTTGACCCCTCCCCCAGGACGGGTTTTTCATCCCGGCTCCCTTTATTACCTGTCCCGGGACCGGGTAAGGACCCCCGGAGGCCGAGAATGGCGGAAGACCTCCAGTCGTGACTTTGGCCACAACGCGAGGGGTCTGGGGACGTTTGGTCGTCACCACCATGCCTCGTGAGGTGGATGGTCGGTCCGCGGGGCCACACGATGTCCGTGCGCACCCGGGTAGAGCGAGTACGGGCACGCGGAGCCCGCGAGCACAAATCGACACACGCTCCAGAAGTCCCCCTGTGTGTCTGCATGTTTGTGGGGCTTCCCTCTTCCCCTCTCTTTGCAGAATGGCCCCTGCTTCCATTAACAACCAACGCGTAGCATTGCTCATGTGTGCTCGTGCCGATATTTGTCCTCATGGAACACTGGCGAGAAAAAGAGAGAGAGAGAGAGAGAGAACAAAAAACAAACAAACAAAACAAATCAATGGAAGAAAAACGCGTGCGCAAGTGGCGGAAGACAACCGGGGTTGCCCATCCCAACCCCGCAATACTCTGCGACATCTTCCGTGATCCTCCCCTGAGCATCACTTAGCCGATCCCTATCCCAACTGGCGTGGCCTTGGCCCCACTGGCCGACGTTCCCATGGGTGTGGGGACCTGTGCATGCTTGTTCAGGTTTTGCGGTGCCGGGCCGATCCCAAACCCGGAGGGTGCTCTGGCGGGGCTGAGATGCCACGGTCCGGTGGGGCGATGAGATGAGGCAACGGTCAAAGTCAGCTCGTCCGAGGCTACTCAGGCCCCGAACCGGAGGCCTCTGAAGGAGCAGAAGCCTCCTCAGAGTCGTCCTCGGCGCCCGCAGCGCGCTCGAGGGAGACTCGCTCCCCACGCCCGCGGGGCAGGGAGCCCGTCCTCTCCTCGAGCCCGAGCGCCCGCGGCACCGCGCCTCGGAGCCCGGCCCTCCCTCGCGGGGCCACCCCCGACGGTGCAGTGAGGATGGGGATCGGTCGAGCGCTGCTCACTCCCCCTGGTCTCTGCTCGAAGGGCCGCGGCGCAGCGAGCGGTGCAGCGAGAGAGAGAGAGAGATAGAGAGAGAGGGGGGGCGACAGAACACGCCTCGGCCTTCGGAAGCCTGCCGACCCGCACCGCGGCCCCAGGGTGCAGCACGAAGCGCTTGACCGAGGCGGAGCCGTCCTGAGCAGAAGTGTTACCTTGCACAGCTCCGTTTTCCTCCTCCTCCTCCTCCTCCTCCTCCTCGCTTTTCCTCCTCCTCCTCCTCCTCCTCCTCTTCCTCTTCCTCCTCGGACCTCTCTATGCTCTTGGTTCGTCCCTGGCCTCCCCCCAGGGGCCACCGAACCCTTCTGTGTTGGACTGTGCCTTTGAGGCGTATCGCAGCTTCTTGGCATGAAGAGGCACTCACATAGGCAGAGCACAATGTACACACACACACCTTTTGAGAATGATGGTGCGATCGTTCGCTCGTGTTTTTGGGAAAGGTCGACCGTGACGCTCCACCTGTGCGCGAGACCACGGCATGCCAAACGGCTGAAACAGATACGTCAATCAGCATACGACCGAAGAAGCATGCCAATATGTCGCGATCAGCTATAATCTTCGCGGAGGCTCACGTAAGGCCTCACTCGATCAAAGCATCCAGGGTACTGCACCATGGTCACTCGGACGTCGTTACTGCAAACGACACCCTGGACGAACCCTGGTCTTCTGCATTGGCCTCAAAGCCATTTGCTTGGCACATGCCTCTTCCGGGCGAATGACGACCGCATGGTCGCCCTCACCCAGGAGCCCTCCGACAACACTGTCCGTACGTCCGTGAACGACGTTTAGCTCAACCTTACCCAGTGCAGCCCCTTGCGGAATCGTCACCTCCTATTGCGATGCGCAGATGGAATACCCTAAAGGATGTGTTGCATCTGCCCACTACCCTGTCACGTTCACGTTTTGGCAGTACATATCCGACCAATGTCCTCGCAATCGAGATGCAACGGCCGAGACGCGAAGCAATGCGTTTGCAACGCGCAGTCCGCGTGGGATATGTATCTGAACATGTGCGGCTGCCTGCATCACGCCGAGCGACCTCAGCCACCCGACGGCGCGCTCGCCAGCCGCTGCCCGCCGCCATCCACAGCAGGGCAGCGGCCGCTGCCCAGCGAGGCCGCGATGGCCTCCAGCGCCCCCGCCGCGCGCCCGAACTCGTGCCGCAGGCCCTCGACGCCCGCGCGCAGCTGCGCCACCTCTTGGTAGGCTCGAAAGCACGACGGACAGAACGGGCACGAGGACCGACAGCATTGGGCGCCCGAACTATCCGGGGTAACTCGGGTCCGGGTAACTCGGGTTTGGATTCCCGAAAAAGGAACCCGAGTTAGCCCTGACCCGACTTACCCCTGATGATTCAGGGCTCTGGATGCCCGAATTATCCGGGGTAACTCGGGTCCGGGACAACTCGGGTTCGGACTCCCGAAAAGCGAACCCGGGTTAACCCTGACCCGAGTTACCCCTGATGATTCGGGGCTCTGATCTTGGTAGGTCCGAAAGCACGACGGACAGAACGGGCACGAGGTCCGACAACATGTCCTCCCCACTTTGAACAGGGCTCGCTGTCGCTGTCGCCGCGGACGCCCGTCCATCTGAGACAGAAGCCCGCCCGCCCAACAGCGGCCGCTGTCGATTTTGGACAGCAGTAGCTGTTGGGCGTCGAACCCATTCTTGCCCGAATTCATTTCGGGCGTCCAACACCTCGCCCCGGATGCCCGCCACGTCCTCAGCGAGGCGCGCCAGCTGCGTCGCGCCGGCGTCCGCCGCCGCCGCCGGAGGCGCGCCCGAGGGCTCGGCGGCAGCGAGGGCCCCGCCGCCGCTCGCGGGCGCGGCGCCGCCGGTGCCTCTGCTCTCCGGCTCCCCGCCGGGGCCGCCGTCCTGGGGCTCGCCCAGCTCCTCCGCGACGCTGGCCACGCTGTGCAGCAGCTCGCGCGGGCAGGGGCGGCCGAGCGGCGAGGCGTCGGGCACGGACAGCGCCCCGTGCAGCTCGACGCCGCGGCCGGGCAGCAGCGCCAGCCCGCGCAGCCGCAGCTGCGCCGCGGCTCCGTCCTCTGGCCCGCCAGCGCCAGCCAGGTCGAGCCGCGCCACCTGGCGCCACTCTTCCGAGCGCCCCCACCGGTGCGGGGGCGCCAGACGCCAGACGCTCGCCGAGGACCCCAGGAAGGAGCCCGCCGCCACCAGGCCCTGGTCGTGGGGCTCCACGGCGCCCCGGGCCACGGCCAGCAGCTCGCCGTCGACCTCCAGCTCCCGCCCGCAGCGCACACGCCGCGGCGACGCACCTGTGCCCTCCTCGCACCGCAGCGGCAGCAGGCAGCGCCTCTGCGGCACCACCTGGAGGCCCAGGGCAGCCTCAGCGGCGGCGCCCCCAAGGGCTGCGCCCCCAAGCGCGCTCAGCAGGCCAGGCGCGGCGGAAGCATGTGGCCCGTGGGCCAGGCAGTCCTGCGGATTCTCCACCTCGACAACCAGCCGCCCCGCCCCCCGAGGATCCTGCGCGGGGGGCAGCCTGAGACCCCCTGGGAGCACCATGCCCGCCGCATCCAGCGTCTGGTCGGCAGGCGCTGCCTTCAGCTCCAGGCGGCACAGGAACACGTCCGCGTAGACGGCCTGGGCCTCGGTGCACTCGCCGGCGCACAGCAGGTGCCGGGCTGCTGGCCTGGCCATGGCGGGGCCCGTGCCCCGAGGCGCGGTCCAGGCGAAGCAGGCCATCTGCCCAGAGCCGCCCACCAGCAGCTGGCTTCCGTTGGCGGCCCAGCAGAGGCAACTGCCCTGGAACCCGACGTGCAGCTGGTCGCCGGGCCTCGCCGCCCAGCTGCCGTCTGGGCGGCGCTCCACGGTCAGGAGCAGCACGTCACGCGGCAGCAGCACGGCCAGCACCGCTGGCCCACCGGCGGCCTCCGTGCTGGTGCCCGCTGCCGGCCCAGCCTCGGGGCACCCGGGCCTCGCGAGCCAGGACGGGTGGTCCGCCCAGGCCAGGGCGCGGGCCCCCGCCACTCCCTCGGCGTCCACGCGGGCGGCCAGAGTGTAGAAGCCGTCGTCGCCCGCTCGCGGCAGCTGCCACAGCGCGACCTCCGCGGAGCCGCCGCTCATCTCCAGGGAGGCGAAGAGCCTCCGGGGGCCGCAGAGCATCAGCACCCGCGGGTTCACCAGCTTCACGGGGGACTCGGGGTCGGGCGCCCAGGCGCAGGTCCGGCAGCGGGTCGGCGCAGACTCGGCGTAGCGGCAGTGCAGCACGCTGCGCTCGGCCAGGTCGAAGGCGAGGAACTCGGCTGCGCACAGGCCTCCCTCGGGCACGCTCACCACGCCGGCGAGCAAGTTCTGCCGCCACCTCGTGGCCAGCTGTCCCCAAGACATCGCCACGGCCGCTCGTGCGGAACGGTGTGTGTGCGCGGGGGCCCCGTCGGAAGCGCTGGCGGCGGCCTGCTCGCGCCCCCAGTCCAGCCGCGCCCAGCAATGCCGAGGAGCCAGAGCCGAGCTCGCTTGGGCTGAAGACGGCTCTAGCCAGAATGGCTACGGAGAGCAAGGAGAGCGGGCACATCCCCACCCCCCACGAATTTGGGAAGCAACTCCCTCGAGGCCTTCGTAAGATTGGGTGAGGGCTGTGGAGCTCGATTGGGAAGCCAGGCTGGGCCGCATTGAGCGGGGGATCAGTCAGATCTAAGCGGAAGAAACCAGGCTCCAGTGGAGCATGCAAAGACGAAGCCTGCGTTCGCCCACGGACGTAAGTACCAGCGCCTGAATTCGACCTCCCGGGAACTACATCCTGAACGAGTGCACCCCCGCTCTGCCGCCTGGGCAACCGCTGCCCCATCCCCGAGCCCGGGCCCGTCCGTCAACATCGGCCCAGCAAAGAAGTGGGCTCTCTCGGAGTGTCTTTGGGGCCTCTAGGACCGCCTTGGAGCCACCCTCTGAGGCCTTCGGGGCGCCTTGGAGGCCTCGGACCGTCTCGGGACTCTCCCCGGAGGGCTTCCTGGGGCCCTCGTGGGAGCCTCGTCGGGCCCTCTTGGGGCCCTCTTGGGGCCGTCTCGGGGCCCTCTCGGGCCGTTCGCGGGCCCCAAGACGGGCCGTCTTCGGGTCCTCTTGCGGCGTCTCTGCCATCTGCGCCCCTGTGTGCGTCCTACCCTGGGATCGGGGCCGCCCAGACTGGGACCCTACAGTGTACGTAACCGAATCATGTGGTTACGCTCGAAACTGTGGCGCGTAACCGAAGCGCGAAGAAGTTGGCTACGATCGACCCCTCACACACTTGAGCCATCCAGATGCATTCAACAACCTCGAGCGCGGCCAACATCGAGGCGAGCACCCGATGCCAGAAGAAGCCCTTTGGGGGAGTCTCGGGCGAAGCGGCTGCCGGACCGGGCGCCCTCCTGCTCCCCGTGCCGTGGGACTCTGCTGTGGCACCTGTTTGACCACTGCTGGAAGTCTCTCTATGAGGAGGAGGAGGAGGAGGAGGAGGAGGAGGAGGAGGAGGAGGAGGAGGAGAAGGAGGAGGAGGAGGAGGAGGAGGGAGAAGGAGGAGGTGGAGCGGGAAGGAGGAGGAGGAGCGGGAAGGAGGAGGAGGAGGAGGAGGAGGAGGAGGAGGAGGAGGAGGAGGAGGAGGATCTCTCGCGACATGCTACGAAGGAGCAAGAGCACCGCAGAGTCGGCGCGCTTTCTCTGGTTCCTATATGCCCCGGGAGGGCAGGGCGAGCGTTCTGGACACGCTGGCCCGCCAACGCCTGGCCGACTGGACTGCACCCCCAGAGTCACCTCCTCGTGCGCGGACCGCTGGCTCGACGGAGCTCGACCAGCAGAGCGCGATCGGCGAGGCCAGGGAAGCGGCAGGAAGAGGATGACAAGTTGACAAGCGCTGCCCCGTCTCTCGTCTTCCAGCCTCTTCGCGTTTCCGGCTCGGTCTGTCCTGCGCTGGCTCGTGGCAGACTCGGCGCGAGAGACCAGAAAACTCCCCAAACGGAGGCGCCGGGAAGCCGGTGGGGCAAAAGTGTGCCCAGAGGCGCGGGGGAGGGGAGTAAGGCGGTAGGTCGCGCGGTCAGACGAGGCACGCATCACGCATGCCGCATGCCGCATGCATACTCACGTAATCATGCATCCTGCCATCATCAGTCGGCGATATGGCCTGACAACCTAGCCCCATCCAGCCGTCTTCGCACGTCCTCATTCCTCACCAGCAACACTCATCATCCACATCAACACGCACACCGATGAACAAACAATGACATGAACAGACACTTGCGGAACGGCGCTGGGCCCCACTCCCTGGCGCGCGGAACGCGCCAAGCGTGGCGCCAGAGGCGCCGCCAAAGGGGGCCCAGCGCTGATACAAGAAATCCGCGCGGACCCCGAATGTTCATGTGTATGTCATCGTGTGTTCCTCGGGCACACTTCCCCATCAGGTACCATCACCATCCACCCATCCAAGGTCAACAGAAGAGTCCTCGCCGCGGCCGCGGCCGCGGGCGACGACTGCCGCCGTCAGCCGAGAGGTCGTCGACGATGACAACGACTGCGACGACGACGACGACGACGACGACGACGACGACGACGACGACGACGACGACGGGATGACAGAAAGGTGCCCATACCGCTACTCCGGGTTTCTTAATAAGCGTGGGGGGTACCCCCCCGACGGGGGTCAACCTCGCCTCGTTGTCGCGCCGCGACGGGGGTTGGAGCGCCTTCGGCGCGCGGTGGCTGCCCGCGACGGGGGTCGATGTGGGGCTGTCGGCGGGGGTGACGATCCCTAACTCGGACTACTGTCAGGACCTCTCCGGAGGTGCGCTCTGACCAGAAGCTCCAGGCGAATCCCACCGTGGCGACGGGGGCTTCCCAGGAGGCCACAGATAAGAGGCGGAAGCCAGGGAAGGGCAGCGGCAGCGGTACCTCTTCCTCCTTCGCAGAGTTGCCACGAACTCTTCGCAACGACGACCCCCAGAGAGCCACCTTTCCATCCCGAGTCGTTGCTTGACGGTCCAGGCACCCGGCGCCGAGGACCTCCAGAGGCAGAACACAGCAACAATAGCACCCAAGAACGTCCGCGGTGATCTCGCCACGACGCGAGGGGGTCTGGCGTCGTCGTCGTCATCGTCGTCGTCGTCGTCGTCGTCGTCGTCGTCGTCGTCGTCGTCGTCGTCGTCGTGGTCGCGGCCGTCCTCGTCGCGCAGCACCAGCGCGAACCTCACCGCCGCTGCCGACGAGACCTCGGTGGCGGCCGCGGCGACGGCCGCCGCCGTGAGCAGCGGGACGACGGGCGCAGCCTGGGGGGCGGCCCTGGGCGGCTGGCACTCCTCGCTCCTCCCACTCGCTCCTCCTCCTCCTCGCCCTGCCCCTCGCTCCTCCCGCTCGCTCCTCCCCGCTCGCTCCCCCCCCCCCCCCCCTGCCCCCCCCGCCCTCGCTCCTCGCCCACTCGCTCCGCCCCCTCGTCCTGCCCCCTCGCTACCGCCCGCCCCCCCCCCCCCCCGCGGAACTCCGCGCACGCCGCGCCGTCCCCCGAGACGCAGGCCCTGCTGGGGGGGGGGCCGCCCCGCCCGGACCCACGAGAGCACCCCCGGGAGGCCCCCGACATGCCCGCCCGAGGCCCAGGTTAGAGCCCTGCCCCTACCTCCCACGATTTCTGAGGGGGAGGGTGGGGTTCACCCACCCTCCCCCTCAGAAATCGCAGGGGGCAGGGGTGGGCTTCGCATCTGGCCCCCTACGGGTGAAGCAGGGCACACGGCGCGTCCGCCGGGGGGGGCCCCTCAGGAGGCCCCCCCCCCCCGGGGCCCAGGAGTGGCGCGAGGGGCGTGAGCGCGTTTCCCGCCCCCCTGGCGCAGCGCCAGACCGGAAGGCCCCCCCCCCCGCCCCAGAAATACCCCCCCTGGGAGCCCTCGCCAGGGGGACCTGCTTTTGCCGGCCCATGGGAGGGGGGTCGGGTTCTCGGGAATTCGGCTCGAACCCGCGTCGGCACGCGCCACGTGGGGTTGCACTCGCAGCTCAGCGCGCCAGGGTCGGGCCCCCCCCCCCCCCTCGCACCCGTCGCAGTCGACCGCAACGCATGCGCGGCGCATCCTGCAGCGGGCGCCGGATTCCCGAGGGGGGAGGCCGTCGACCGAGCGGCGCGTCTTCCGCCCAAGGACTGGTCCCGAATCCCGGCCCGAATCCCAAATCGGCAAGCGGATCGTGGAAAAGGGGGGGGAGGGGGGGAGAGGTTCGAGAACCCCCCCCCTCCACAACTACCGGGTAATGCACTGGCGCTCTTTCGAAATCTGTGGTAAGGACGGGCGGTCAGGACGCAGGGGCCTTGGGCGCCGAAGTTGGCACTTTTTGGGCGGCGGGCTGCCGACGCCCTGAAGGGCTGGCCAGTGAAAGCCGCGAATGGCGGGCCGCAGAGGCAAGGGCGCAAGGATACCCCAAGGACCACCGTGCGTCCTTACCATGAGTTTCGACTGTAATTCCGAATATCTTTGAACAGCTTTGAATAACTCTGAACAACTTAGAGAAAACATTCGGACCAGTGGTGTCGTCTACTATCAAAGTTGGTCCAATTAATTCAAACGTATCCTGGGCCCCCGCGGGGAGCCCGGTTCTGGCGACGACGCCGGACCTGGCCAGGAGTCATCGCCGGTGTGGCCCGGCAATTCCAGACCACATCGTGGTGGCCCCGGGCGGCCTTTTGCTTCGCAGCGCCTTCGGTTTGCCCTTCGTCGCGCCCGCATCGAACTGGCGGAATCCCGCGGTTGCCCGCTGGCGCTAAGGATCTCTCAAGGCGCGTCCCGCCGATCATTGATGCGGTGCGGCAGCGGCGGCTCACGCGGTTGCGTTGGGCCCCCGCGGTCGCCCGTGAAGCCGCGCGCCAAAGGGTGCGCACTCGTGCGGGCCGCCGGTCCAAGAGACCGCCCCCTGATTGGGCCTCGAAGAGCCCCCCAACAGACCCCGCAACAGACGCGGAGGAAGACCCATATTGTAGTATATCGTTTCCCGAGCGGCGTGGCCAGAAAGCGCCCGCCACGACGCATGTACTGTAAGATTTCTCGGTACGCGCGTCGCCCCTGGGGGGGCGACGCACATACAGTATGTATCAGTATGTTGGGGTGACGCCGAATGAATGCGTAACAACTGCACGCAGGTCATACGACGGAAGTGTACAACAACACGCACGGCAACGGAAGCCGCACGTCGTCTCTTCCGGGGCTCGGCGGGATGGCGTAAGCAACTTGAGCATCACACGCATACGTTCACGATTGAAGATATCTGCATACGTTGGGCGAATGTGGCCCAGCGGCTTGTTTCTTTGCTCCTCCAAAACCCTTGGCCCTTCAGGGAAGGGTACCCTTCCCCTCTCCGCCCTGAATGTTTTGGGTGCTCCGCGAGGAGCCAGGGCGCCCAAGATTGCTCAAGGTGGCTCCAAGAGGAAGTTCGACGAGCCAAGATGGCCTCCAAGATGGTTCAAGAGAGCCGACGATGGTTCAAGAAACCCTCCGACGTACCTCCTGGAAGCCCGACAAGGGCCACAAGACTGTTCAAAATGCTCTCGGAACCCCTTTCCAGGCACCCCCCAAGAGGCCAGCATCCTGCAGAAACCGAGCGACAATCCATGATGTTTGCCGTACCGCCTGTTCGCTCCCGATGCGCTTTTCGAGATCTCAATCTGGCCCAAGAGAAGCCCAAGAAGGGCGTAAGAGCCCCCCCCCCCAGACAGCCCCAATAGCGCCCAAGAACGCCCGAAGAGGGCCCCAGGAGGCGATGTATGCCACAAAGGGGGTTGGGGGGGAGATAGAAATTAGGACCCCCCCCTTCTTTGGCTGACGCCCTACAAGATGGCCCCGAGAAGCCTTACAAGGCTCCCAAGAGGGCCCACAGAGAGCGCCAAGAGGGCCCCAATAAGGCCCCAAGGCAGCCCCGAGACGGCCCCAAGAGCGCCCGAAAACAACCCAAAAGCGTCCCAGGAGGACCCCAAGAGGAGGTTTGCTTCCTCCTCCTCCTCCTCCTCCTCCTCTTCCTCCTCCTCCTCGTCCTCCTCCTCCTCCTCCTCCTCCTCCTCCTCCTCCTCCTCCCCTCGCCCCCCCGCGGGCCCCGGGGATGGCCCGAAGAGGCCTTCCAAGGCCACCTCCTTGCTCCCAGAAATTTCTCTGCGGCGTGGCCAAATGGATGCTGGATGGGCATGGCATCCTTCGTTTTTGCCGCCCTCGCATTCGCGGGGGCCGCGGCCCTAAGGATGCGCGACGGGCAGGCCGCATTTGCTCATCCTCGGGAACGTCTTTCTTGTCTGTCTCCCTCCTCCTTCCTCTCTCCTCCTCCGCCTTCCTCCTCATCCTCCTCCTGACGAGGTGGGGGGAGGAGGAAAAGGAGGAGGAGGGAAAGGAGGAAGAGGAGGAGGACAACAAAGAGGAGGAGGAGGAGGAGGAGGACGAGGAGGAGGAGAAGGAGGAGGAGGAGAGGGAGGAGGAGGAGAAGGAAGGGAACGGATGAGGGGGCGGAGGAGGAGGGGAGGGGGGGAGGACAAGCTAGGTGCGCTCGCGTCATATCTGACGTCCTACCCCTCCCTCCCATCCCTTACCATGGCGCTGATTTTCTCTATCCGCGGACGCGTGTCGTAGCGGACCTGTGGCTCCGCGCGCGCGTGCGTAGTGGGTGGTGGTGCACGTGCGTGCGTGCGTGCGTGCGTGTGTGCGTGGTTGTCGTGGTGGTGGTGGTGGTGGTGGTGGTGGTGGGGTGGTGGTGGTGGTGGTGGTGGTGGTGGGGTGGTGGTGGTGGTGGTGGTGGTGGTGGTGGTGGTGGTGGTGGTGGTGGTAGTGGTGGTGGTGGTGGTGCTGGTGGTGGTGGTGCTGGTGGTGGTGGTGTTGGTCTGGTGCTGGTGCTGGTGGTGGTTGTGGTTGTGGTGGTGGTGGTGGTGGTGGTGGTGGTGGTGGTGGTGGTGGTGGTGGTGGTGGTGGTGGTGGTGGTGGTGCGGCGCGGTGGTGGCGGGCGGATGGGCGCGCGAGAAAGAGGCCCGCGCTGGGGCGAGAACGCCATCCTGAACGACGGAGGCCAAACACCGATCCGAAAATGAGGCCCACGCTGCAGCGGGAGCACGATTCGGAACGATTCGGGAGCAGAAATGAGGCCGGCGCCTCAGCGAGAGCAGCATTTGGGAAAAAAAACGCAAGCGAAAACCCGTTCCCCGGGAATCCTGTGTGTAAAAAACAGTACGCGGGGGGGGGGTCGGATATCTTCGGGACGCCATCAGGGGAAGTGGGAGAGTATTTTCATATTGTGTAATTGTGGAGGAGGAGGAGAAGGAGGAGGAGGAGGAGGAGGAGGAGGAGGAGGAGGAGGAGGAGGAGAGGAACGGAGGAGGAGGGGAAGGGAGGAGGAGGAGGAGGAGGGGCAGCAGGAGCAGGAGGAGGAGGAGGGAGAAGAGGAGGAGGAGTTTGCTTGCCTGCTCGCGGCTGTGAGGCGATGAGTCAAATGACTACTACCGCTCTCGGTGAATTCGATAGCCACAGCGATGGCGAGCAGGCGAGCGAGGGGCCGAACGGGCCAGAACGGACCGAGCGAGGGGACCAGACAAAAAAACAGGGACCCCGAGCGGCGGGCTGAGGGCCGCGACCGACGGAGGGCGAGGAGGGAATCGAAGAGGAGCGGGGTCAAAACTACTGCTGCGTCCGCCGCCCGCACCCTAGCGCGATTCGTTCACCAGGCACGCGAGGCCGCACAGCCATAGCTCGATGGCCACGGCGCAGCGCTCGCGCTCCGAACCCAAACCTTCGTCCAGCAACCAGCCATCATCCGCTTCTGTTCGGGGAGCTGGGAGGCCAGCAGCTGGCTCGATTCTTGCAGCGCGTCGATCCAGGCCGAAATCTCGTCCACGAGATAGCCCGACGGCGCTGCTCCCGCCGTCGTGGTCGCACCCATCGAGCGGAAGTGCGACAAGATCTGCATCTCTGTCCGTCCCGTCGAGCGCGAACACCACCTCCAGCATGTCGGTCTGCATGCGCCCCTCGAGACGGCAGAGGCGCACGAACGTCGGGGGCTCCCTCTCCATCTCGGCCAGGAGCACCCGAATAAACTCTCGGTTGGTCCTCCCGATCTCCTCCTTCGTCAGCGCCTCGATCATCGCGCAGAAGGCCGCTGGGGCTGGCGGGCAGAGCCCTCCAAGGTCGTTCGTGATCCTCTCGGAGTCGCTGTCGCGCTGCCTGACTGCTGCTGCGTCCGTGTCCTTGACCGACTTTGCCTTTCCCTTCAGCATGCCGGCCTCCGTGCGCATGTTGTTCGCCGCCGCTGAGAAGTCCTGGCCCTCGCTCTGCGTCGCCCTGATCACGGGGGACTTCTCCTCCATCAAGATCGCGCGCGTCGCGATCCCCCACGTTGCGCCAGAGGACTGCGCCAGTTCGGCGACGATCATGGTGAGGTGGAGGAAGAGAAGAGCCCCTTGAGGCCTGTGTCCTTCGTCGTGATCTTCCGTTCTTTGGCCTCGGCGCTGCGTCGCCCTCCTCGGAGGCACATGCGCGGTACTTGCGGCTCCTCGCCCCCATGCCCGCCGTCGCCAACGAGCGTGCGAGTCGAGGTACCATCGCCGTATCTCAAATCCGCCAGGCCTGCTTCAGCTCAATCTCGGTGCGCTGCTGCTTTTCTGTGGTACGCCGCCGTCGAAGAGAGTGGAGGGCCCTGGCATAACTGCGGGAAGCATGTCCCTGGGAGCGAGCTTCCGTCTGCAACGCGTCCTGCATCGCCTCTTCCAGGGGCAGTGCCGATACCTGGGCCACGAGGTCGCGTCGCTTCTCCAGGCGCTCCCATCTGTGCTGTTCAAGCTGCGCTCCGGACTTATGGCGAATATTCGGATGTAAGAAAGGGCGGATGGAGACCTGTCGAATCGTGGCCGTCGTCAATGTCTCATGTCCGCTCGCCGTCGGTCGAGACTCCAGCAGGTCCAACGACCGGGATATCTCGAGCAGCGCGTCCTGCGCATCCTCCAAGAACTCCTCCCGCCGCGCCCCGTGCACGACGGCCCGAGCCAGGCGGAGTTCGCGGAGGGGGCGAGTATTGGCTGAGCATTTCCTAGGGTCAAATGCTCAGGGTGAAATCCGCATGAGCTTGCGCACCTTGAAAATCAATCCGTCGTGTGACTCACCATCTGCAGATTCAAACCTCAGAAATAAATCGAAACGGCATTTCAGATTTCACCCGTTGCCCTCCACCCAAAGAAAATGCTCGGATTGACTGCGGCGACCGACTGGGACTTCTCAACAACTGGGACGTGGTCCAACGCTGTGCGCATGGCCCTGACCGCCCCCCCCCCCCGCGCGCTTCCAAGCACACGACCAACTCACAAAGACCAATCGCTGGCTGGGGGACGCAAACCACATCGTTCTGCGAGCTCGCGCCCTGCATTCCGAAGCGCGCGTGCTCCCAGTGCCCCAGTGTCTACTGGCAGCCCCATCCGCATCTGGTCGGGCAGCTCGTGAAAGAGTTGGCGACGGAAAGATGCACGATCAGTGTCAAGGGATGCCACCATGCCGTCACCTGCATGATCGCTTCACGCCCGAATTCAAGCTTGCAAGAATTACTGGCGTGAGCCGCTGAGGCACCTGCAGAAGAGCCTCTCGGGCCTAGGATGTGCTGTGCGTGCAAATGTACTTCCAGAGCTTCGCCTCTCCGTGTCGTGACGGCCGAAGCGGACAGTGAAGAACACCAGTTGCGCCAATAGGAGAGGGCCCGACTCCACCAGCACGAGGCCTCCCGTCACCGGAGGCCAGCAGGCGGGGGAACGATCCCCCTGATGCTGCTCACGTGGAAGCAGCGCTTCGACAGGAAGACCGAGCACCCGCAGCTCTCGTTGACCATCGCCGAAAGGGTCCAGCCGAAGTGGACCACGTGGCGGTGGAACGCAGTCACATCGTGGTGCTGCTCGCCATGCCACGCGCGGACGGCGGTCCCTGGCATGCCGATGATGTCGATGCCCTTCGGCGCCGCCGAAAACGCGCCGACCCTCGCCGCCGATGCGAAATTCTGAAGGTTGTACGTCGCCACAAATACCCCCCTGCTGTCCACCATCGCATCCCACAACTGGGCGCGGCCACACAGCGCCGCGATCCAGAGCACCAGGCGTGCCCGCCAGCCCCCAAGGAGGAGGAGCACCCTGGCGGTCATGGCTGTCCCATGGGCACGGCTGCCCCCATCGCTGCTGACGTTCCAGCTGAGGGACCCCGCAATCTGGGGGGGGCCGCGCGGAGACCTAACCTGGAGGAGGAGGAGGAGGAGGAGGAGGAGGAGGAGGAGGAGGAGGAGGAGGAGGAGGAGAAGAAAAAAGATCAGGTGGTGGTGGTGGTCGAGGAGGAGGAGGAGGAGGAGGAGGGAGGAGGAGGAGGAGGAGGAGGAGGAGGAGGAAAACGAGGAGGAGGAGGAGGAGAAAGATGAGGAGGAGGCGGAGGAGGAGGAGGAGGAGGAGGAGGAGGAGGAGGAGAAAGGAAAAGGAGGAGGAGGAGGAGGGGAGGAAGAAAAGGAGGAGAACGAGGAGGAGGAGAGGAGGAAAGGAGGAGGAGGAGGAGGAGAAGGAGGAGGAGGAGGAAAGGGAGGAAGGGAGGAGGAAAGGAGGAGGAGGAGGAGGAGGGAGTAAGGGAGGAAGAGGAGGAGGAGGAGGAGGAGGAGGAGAAGGAGGAAGCTCCTCCTCCTCCTCCTCCTCCTCCTCCTCCTCCTCCTCCTGCCTTCTGCAGGCAAGGGCGGACTCGGGGGCGCAGCCTCGGGGGCGGTCTCCACTGGCTGCGGCTGGCCAGGCTCCTCGGCGCCGCCCCCGGCCTCCGTCGCACCCTCGCCAGCGGCGGGCTCTCTCGGGGCATCCTGGCGGCACGGGCGTGGCAGGCGGGGGAGGCATTGTGAGGGCTCGACGGGCCCTCGAGGCGTGGAAAAATCACGACGGGAGGTCTTTCGCGATGCTCGGCCTCTGGGAGCCCTCTCCAGGCCTCGGGATTGTCAGAACACGGCTCAGGAGCTGGTCCCGGGGAGTGTGGGTCCAGACCTCGGAGGGGCCGCCGTGATGAATTAATCATGACGTCGGGGGTCTGGGTTCGAGGGGTCCATGATCCAGATATCCCTCGGTGCTGCCTGTTCAATCCTGGTGCGTTTTCTCGGCTTCGGCCTCCAACCCTGCCTTCGGATCCGTACTCCGGTGTATCTTCCGGCTTGAGATAGTGTCGGAAAAGCACCCAAACCATGCGAACAAGTGGGGCGAAAATTACCGCAACACGAAAATAGGGCGGATGATTCAGCTAATATGTGACGGAAGCGACGACGGCGAAGCAGGGCGGAAATCGACAGCACAGGCGAAGTTGGGCGGAGATCGACAGCAAAGGAGCTTGAACTGTAGGTATGGAACTTCCGCCGTGCTTATGCGGCGGATCCGACGACATCCAAGGTTTCCTCGGTTTGAGGCTCGGGGGGGCAGCCGGAGCTCGTTTCTTATTGCTCGCGACGACGCCCGTGACGAGCCCCGCCCATCCCCCCCGCTGGCCGCTGGTCACGCCACGATTCGAGCCGGCGCCGTCTGATTCCCAGACGGCGCCAGAGCGAATTGTGTCGTGACCGCCCCCCCAGAGCTGACTGTGTGGCGTAGCGCTCGCCCCCCCAGCTACGTGTCGTGACCGCCCTCCCAGGCTACGGACATACTTGCGCAAGGCCTCCCAGCCTTGCTGTCTTGCGTAGACTGTGTGCGCACTTGCGCACGAATTGTGTCGTGACCGCCCCCCCAGGCTACGGACATCCCCCTCAGGTCACGCCCGTTGCAGTGGAGGCCAGTGCACAAGAAACCGTCCACAAGAAACTCAACCCTGAGACCCCAGGGCGTCCATTGTTTCTTGGTGTTGGAACGTCACGCCTGCCATCGCAGAACCATCGAAACCCAAGAAACCTAGGGCACCCTGGAGGCGAGCAGGGTGTTTCTTGGCATGGGTCTCCACTGCATCACCAGGGCATAAGAAAATTGCCTCGTTCGGGCCCCAGGACCATCAAACCCCGCCGACGCTGGCGATGCATCGGCGACGTCGGTGACGCCTGGGCGACGACGGCGTGGAGAACACCAGGCTCCAGATCGAGCCGCATCGCCGATGCATCGGCGATGCGGCGCGATCCTCCGGCCCGATCTGGTTGGTACAGTCGGGGCGTTGACCTAAGGAAGCCTAAATAAGGAATGAGGCCACCATTCTCCATAAGTTAAGCTTCGATCTCACATCGAAAACCTGAGGAAAAAACCTGAGGCAAGCTGCGAAACAGTGAAGGAACACGGAGCCCCTCCTCAATGAAAAGGGTTCCTTCTTCCGACTGTGGGGACCCCGCTGGGGGGCGAGCTGGTGCACAGCGACCCTGCGCGGCCGGCTCCCTCGCGCCGCCGGCGCGGCGCACGCCACTCTGTAGGAGCGAGAGGGCGCCCACGCCGGACCCGGAGCGGACACAACTTGCTGCGCTCTTCGAGGTCGGGGAAGACGACCCCCGGCGTTCCTCCGTCGCTCCGCGGTGTGGCGATATCGGAAAGAGGGGGTGCGGCAGAAAGGGGTGTGGCGCCAATCTCGGGGATGGACAGACCCCCCTTTAGTAAAACGTGGTTTAGTGAAAACGGCCTGAGGCCCAAACCTGGCGGGCGCCAGCCTGGAAAATAACGGCCGCGGCGCCCTCTCGAGAACCGAAAACGGACAATTCACGAATCGGCGTGTCACTGTTGGGGGTTCTGTCCACCCCCGACAATCGTGGACCATGTCGATATTATCGACGATAGCCAACATCGCCAGACTCAGCCACGGCACCACACCCCTTGGCACCAGACCCCTCTTTTTTTGCCTCCAGATCAGGGGGAGGTCTGGAGATGTCGGCCCCGGGGGCATCAAAGATGAATCCAGGACGCGCAGCCCCTTTTCGGCAGCCTCCGCTACCCCTTCATTTATCCCCCGCAGTACGCCACGCCCCACCGGGGCCAAGTTGGAGGCAAGCGTGTGCAAGCACAGCGCCGCACCATCCGGAGCCTTTTGGGGGCTCGCTCGCACCTGAGCAGCGTGCAAAGGGGTTCGTCGACCTGCAATCGTGAGCGGAGCTGGCCACGAAAACAGATGGCATCGATCCACTCCGGCACCATTCTTTCTCGCCCCCCCCTCGGCACGCGACGCCCCGCAGGGCCATCAAAGACGGGCACGGGACGCGCTCGGCCACTCGGCCGCGAGTCTCCCTCGCGGCTCGAGCCGGGACGTCGCTTGCCCGGGGAAACCAAAAGCTGCCGATACCGCTGCTCCCCAGACCTCTCCCGGGGTGCGCTCTGAACAGACTTCCGAAGCGAATCCAGCGGTGGCGATGAGGGCCTCCTAGGAAGCGCACAAAAAACGACCCAGACATGCGACGTCCTGATTTTTGTCCAGAAGGCGCCCCTGGAAATAGCCCAAAACCTCCCGTCCTGTTTTTTTTTTTTTTTTTTTTTTTTTTTACGACGCGAGCATGTCTGGGGAGGGAAGGGTAGCGGAATGGGTACCTGTTCCTCATCTGATTTAGGGGAACAAGCAATGACACAAACATAAACACTCGGAGGACCGCGCGGATTTCTCGGATCCGCGCTGGACCCCCCTGGCGGCGCCTCCGGCGCCGCCCCTGGCGCGCGGAGCGCGCCAGGGAGGGGGGTCCAGCGCCGATCCGAGAAATCCGCGCGGACCTCCGAGTTTTTTTATGTTTATGTCATTGGTCGTTCCCCGATGATTGCCCCCACTCCATTTGAAGGGGCCCTGGGACACACAAATAAATACACACAAATAAAAGGGTTCCCCATACTTTTCCATATCTTTTTGGATGGTCGTCTTCCCCCCCCCGCTTCCCATATGTTCCGTATTTTCTGGGGGATCGTCGATGAATTGTGTCTGTGTGCTTCTTTCCCTCCTGGACCCCGCGCTGGACCCCCCTGGCGCTGGATCCGCGCTGGACCCCCCTGGCGCGCGGAGCGCGCCAGAGAGGGGGGTCCAGCGCCGATCCCAGAAATCCGCGCGGACCTCCGAGTTTTTTTTTCTGTTTATGTCAGGGAGGAGGAGGAGGAGGAGGGGAGGAGGAGAGAGGAGGAGGAGGAGGAGGAGGGGAGGAGGAGGGGAGGAGAAAGGAGGAGGAGGAGGAGGAGGAGGAGGAGGAGGAGGAGGAGGAGGGAGGGAGGAGGAGGAGGAGGAGGTTCCCCGATGATTGCCCCCGCTCCGCGGGCGGCGGCGGCCCTGTAGGGCGCCGCCGGGCGCCGCCCTCGAAGTGGGCGCCGTGCGCTCCGCGGCTGCCGGGCAGGGGGCCCCTCTTCGGGCGCCCGGCCCGGGCCCCCTCTGCGGGCCCCGAGGATATATGTATATATATATATATATGCATATATATATACATATATATACATATATATATATATATATATATATATATACAGGGCAGGTTTCATACATGGGATTTATGATTTTAAACAAAAAGCATGGGATGTTGTTTAATGCATGCTTAACTTATGCATAAATGTATGCAGGAGCCCCTCGTTGTTTTTAGTGCTGAAACCCTGCATTTTAACACATGCTCCGCACGCGGAGCATGTATTAGAAACGGCGCTGTACCCAAGCATCATCGCGTCGGAAAAAAATCAGGACGGGAGGTTTCCGTCAATTTTCGGCCACGGGGGGCCCTCGCCGGGCCTCGCGGGGCCGTCAAAAAACCACTCCGGGCGAAAAACCGGTCCCGGGGAACGAGTCGGGACTTCCTGGGACGCCGTCCTGCAAACATCAGGACGTCGCATGCCTGGGCAACACGCCACCACCACCTCCAGCCCCCCTCCCTCCGCCACCCTCCTCTTCCCAGCCTCTTTCCCCTGGGGGAGGGGGGGGGGGGCGAGGAAGGCGGCGGTGGTGTCCACGTGTGGGCGCCGTGCCCTCGAAGTCATGAGGAAAGCACGGGTATAGGCAGGCCGCGCTCGGCGCGGGGCGCGCCCGACTGCGCACGGCACGGTGGGGTCGTTTTGTTCGGCGGCGAATTGGAGGGGGGGAACTGAAAGGATGAGAAGGCCTTCTCGAGAAGGCGGCGGAGCGGTTTCCTCAGAAGGCGAAGGCCTCCTCAGAAGGCCTTCCCAGGAGGCCTTCTCAGAAGGCCTCCTCAAAAGGCCTTCTCAGACAAAAATCACAACGGGAGTTGCTTCATTGCTTTCGGTCTCTGGGCCCTTGCTGGGCCTAGGGCTGTCCAAGAACGACTCTGGATGAAGAACTGGTCCAGGGGAAGGGGTCCAGACCTCTGGGGGTCGACGTTGTGAACAAAACTCACGTCGGGGGTGTCTGGGTTTTGGGTGACCGCTCGGCTTACCCGTAGCCGTTCGGGACGATCCAGGAACCCCAGCACGCTCTCGGCGAGGCGCAGCCACTGCAGCGCATCCCGAGGCTGAAAAGCCTCTGAGTACCGACGAGAACGTCTGAAAACCTCGAACCTCGGACCCAAAACTCCCAAGAACTTCCCCCTCGGCGCACCGCCGAGAGTGGTCAGTTTCACGCCGAGCGCACCCGCTGCCGCTGCAGCTCGCTGCACACAGGCTGCCGTCATCCAGGAGATCCCGCGTGAAGGGATGTTCTCGCCCCGCCGCCCCGCCCCCCTCTGTTTCGGGGGCGTCTCAGAAGGGAGGGGTGTCCAATAGGGGGGTTCGCACATCAGAGAGAGCGTGATCCACCGCCACTTTACTGTGAAAAATTCCCCCCCCCTCTTCCTCCGGAACCCGGGGGTTCCCCCCCCCTTCCGAAAATCCCCCCCTGCTGGACCCCCCCCCTTCCCCCCGGCAAAACCCCCCCCCCCCCCTCCGGAAAACAGGGGGGGGGTCACTACCGGTTCGAACCCCCCCCCCTCGAAAACCGGGGGGGGTCACTACCGGTTCGAAACCCTCCCCCCCCCCCTCCAGAAAACGAGAAAGAGAAGTCACTACCGGTTCGAACCCCCTCCCCCCTCCGGAAAACCGGGGGGGTCACTAGATTCGAACCCCACCCCCCCTCGAAACCAGGGGGTCACTACTTTTCAAACCCCCCCCGCACCCCCCCCCCAGAAAACCAGAGAGGGTCACCGGTTCGAACCCCCTCCCCCCTCTGGAAACCGGGTGGGGTCACTACTGGTTCGAACCCCTCCCCCTCCCCCCCCCGCTCACCGCCAGCAAACAACTCTGGGTCCCTACCACCGTCCGCACCACATCCCTCACTGCTGTCCCCAGCACCTCTGTCCTCACCACCGCTGTCCCCACTGTTCCCACCACCGTCACCACTGTCCTCACCAGTGCCCCCACCTCTGTCGCATTGTCTCCAGTGTCCCCACCACTGCTCCCACCACGGTTCCACTCCACACTTCCTCCACGGCCCCAACCACTGTCCCACTGTCCCCACTGTCCCACTGTCCCCGCCGCTGTCCCACTGAGCTGTCCCATTGTTCCCACCACTGTCCCCACTGTCCCCACCACTGTCCCAACTGTACCTCTGTCCCATTATCTCACTGCCGTCCTCGCCACCTCCCTCACCACTGTCGCCACCACCACTGTATCCTCCACTGTCCCACTGTTTCCACCACATTCCCACTGTCCCCACACCACTGTCCCCACCACCACCGTCCCCACCACTGTCCCACTGTCCCCACTGTTCTCACCATTGTCCCCGCTGTCCCCCCAGTGCCCCCACCAGTGTCTCACTGTCCCCACTCTGTACTGGTGTCCCACCACAGTCCTCACCACCGCCTTCACCACTGTCCCCACCACTACTGTCCCCACCACTGTCCCCACTGTCCCCACCACTGTCCCGCTGTCCCCTCACCACTCTCCCCACCACTACCGTCCCCACCACTGTCCGCACCACTGTCCCACTGTCCCCGCGCACCACTGTCCCCACCACCACCGTTCCCACCGACTGTCCCAACATCCCCACGAATCTCCAACTGACTGTCCCAAGGAGCGGGCATCGTTTGCCGGCGGCGAGGGGGGGGAGTTCGAACCGGTAGTGACCCCCCCCCGGTTTTCGAGGGGGGGGGGTTCGAACCGGTAGTGACCCCCCCCGGGTTTTCGAAGGGGGGGGGGGTTCGAACCGGTGGTGACCCCCCCCCGATTTTCAAGGGGGGGGGGACGGGCTAGGGACCCCAGCGACTCCCCCTGGTTTTCCGCCAGCAGCGGTATAGAACGCGCTCTTTCGCACAGCATGGCCCGAGGCAAGTGCGCCCGGCCAAGACGCATGATAGCATGGCCCCAGGCATGAGAGCCCCGCCCCCCTTCCATCAGCCCCCTCTTGGCCGCCCTCGACTGCTGTCGCCCCGGTGCAGAAGGTTAGGAAGCAGCTCCTGCGAAGACTTCGCGAGAACGACAACGTGCCATTAAGCCCCACTCAGGGGCCACCACGCCAGACTGGGCCCGATTCAGAGGGGAATTGCGCTGCCGTCCATATTGGATCGAACCGGATTTTGACGGGACTGTGGCGGATGGGGCCAGTTTTCGAACACGGATGCTCGCGCCGATGCTGAATCTTACCTCCCAGCAGCTGCCTGCTGAGGAAGCCCACCCGGGCATCCCGCGTCTTGGCAGCAGTCTGGACGGAAGTCCTTCGCCGTCTGCGGCCCGCGGGGGCGGGCGTCGGGCTCCCGGACCGTCCAAGCGCGGCGCGGTGCGGGGAAGACCGGCCCGGGGAGAGGTCCGGGGGAGGTCGGGGGCCCCGCACTGAAAAAGTCAGGACATCACGTCTTACATCCAACTGCGGCAACTCCCTGCTCAGAGTCTCTGAGAAGACTCCCCGTCCGGACTCCCCTCTGAGAAGACGCCCTCTGAGAAGACTCCCCGTGCGGACAACCAGCTTCCTGCAGAGCGCGAACACCGCGCGATCCCGATACACCCCCGCGCGGCCAGTCGCGCAAGCACTCTGCACAATCCGCTTAAATGGGCTCGTCCTCCTCCGCCTCCTGATCACCGAGCTCCGCAGACTTCCACGGCAAGACCGATACCGAAACTGACAGACCCGATCGCGAAACTGAAACAGGCGCACCGGAAACTGACTGGACGGAAGCAGCTTCACAACTGCCGACCGAATCAGGTCTGCCGAGCGCAGGCAACTGCGAAGCAGCTGGCAAAATCATGCCGTAGACTCCCTCGAATGTCCCATCTCTGCGGGACCTTTTCATGAACTGCGGGAGCCCGCGCGCAGACAAATTCGGCGTCTGCGAATGAAGCAGAAGCTGGTGCGCCTGCTGCGTGAATCTCGAGGCAGCAGGGAGAGGGGAATGAGTTGTAGGGAACGGAGGGGGGGGCTTCACGAGGAGAAAAGATTGCTAGGCGCTGGCAAAGGAGGGAGAACGGTGAGAAACGGGCCAGAGCAATACGCGGTCAAGGGCAATGCCCTGTGAAGCTATGAACAGGGCGGGCTGCGACCTCGCAACTTTTCCCGCAGCCCCCGGCGGCGCATTCAGTGACGGCCAGGGCCAGGGGGGGGGAGCCTTCCTGAGAAGGCCAGGAGGCTCCTCGACGGGGCCGTCCCGTCAAAGCCGTGCGGCAGGCTCGTGTGATGACAACTTCGGCGCAGGCTCCTGACAGTGCATGGACCGCTTCAACCTTCAGCGCTCGCGGCCTCCCAATGGCGCAGACTACTCCTAGGCCGGGCGTGTCCCCCAACAGGCGGAGTGTGGGCGACAAATAAAACAACACACATATCCGAAACATGTGCAAAGCATATTCAAAAAATGCGGAAAATCGTCCCCAAACGATTTTTGCAATCTTTCCCAAATACTTCTCCTGCAGAGGGACAGGCCCGACTTAACGATTTGTTGCAATCTTTCCCAAATACTTCTCCTGTAGAGGGACAGGCCCGACTTAACGATTTTTGCAATATTTTCCACGTATTTCCCCTGTAGTGGGACACGCCCGACTTAACGATTTTTGTAATATTTTCCAAATGTTTCCCCTGTAGAGGGACAGGCCCGACTTAACAATAGCGCAGACTGCTCGACGGCGGCCGCTGCCCGGCCACTGGCGGCGTGCAGCCGTGAACGCCAGCGCGCTGGGGTCGCCGACGCCTCGGCGAGGCACGAACCCACCGCACGCCCCACGCCACCTGGAAGGCCAGAGGCGGAGGAGGAGGAGGAGGAGGAGGAGGAGGAGGAGGAGGGAGGAGGAGGAGGAGGAGGAGGAGGAGGAGGAGGAGAAGGAGGAGGAAGTCCAGGGTTAGGTCGGGCATGTCCCCCTACAGGCGGATGTTGGACGAAAAGTAGACAAGACTCAGCAACATGCTCAAACACAGTCCAAAGAATCCTGAC